GCCACAGAAACGTTACTCAAGGACACAGAATTGTTACTGAGGGCCACAGAACAGTTACTTAGGGCCACAGAATTGTTACTCAGGGACAGACACAGAATTGTTACTGAGGGACACAGAATTGTTACTGAGGGCCACAGAACTGTTACTTAGGGCCACAGAATTGTTACTCAGGGACACAGAATTGTTACTGAGGGCCACAGAACCGTTACTTAGGGCCACAGAATTGTTACTGAGGGACACAGAATTGTTACTGAGGGCCACAGAACCGTTACTTAGGGCCACAGAATTGTTACTCAGGGACAGACACAGAATTGTTACTCAGGGCCACAAAATTGTTACTTAGGGCCACAGAAACGTTACTCAGGGACACAGAATTGTTACTGAGGGCCACAGAACCATTACTTAGGGCCACAGAATTGTTACTCGGGGACAGACACAGAATTGTTACTGAGGGCCACAGAATTGTTACTTAGGGCCACAGAAACGTTACTCATGGACACAGAATTGTTACTGAGGGCCACAGAACCGTTACTTAGGGCCACAGAATTGTTACTCGGGGACAGACACAGAATTGTTACTGAGGGCCACAGAATTGTTACTTAGGGTCACAGAAACGTTACTCAGGGACACAGAATTGTTACTGAGGGCCACAGAACCGTTACTTAGGGCCACAGAATTGTTACTCAGGGACAGACACAGAATTGTTACTGAGGGACACAGAATTGTTACTGAGGGCCACAGAACTGTTACTTAGGGCCACAGAATTGTTACTCAGGGACACAGAATTGTTACTGAGGGCCACAGAACCGTTACTTAGGGCCACAGAATTGTTACTCAGGGACAGACACAGAATTGTTACTCAGGGACACAGAATTGTTACTGAGGGCCACAGAACCGTTACTTAGGGCCACAGAATTGTTACTGAGGGACACAGAATTGTTACTGAGGGCCACAGAACCGCTATTTAGGGCCACAGAATTGTTACTGAGGGACACAGAATTGTTACTGAGGCCACAGAAACCGTTACTTAGGGCCACAGAATTGTTACTCAGGGACAGACACAGAAATTGTTACTCAGGGACACAGAATTGTTACTTAGGGCCACAGAAACGTTACTCAGGGACACAGAATTGTTACTGAGGGCACAGAACCGTTACTTAGGGCCACAGAATTGTTACTCAGGGACAGACACAGAATTGTTACTGAGGGCCACAGAATTGTTACTCAGGGACACATAATTGTTACTGAGGGCCACAGAACCGTTACTTAGGGCCACAGGATTGTTACTCAGGGACAGACACAGAATTGTTACTCAGGGCAACAGAATTGTTACTGAGGGCCACAGAACCGTTACTTAGGGCCACAGAAACGTTACTCAGGGACACAGAATTGTTACTGAGGGCCACAGAACCGTTACTTAGGGCCACAGAATTGTTACTCAGGGACAGACACAGAATTGTTACTCAGGGACACAGAATTGTTACTCAGGGACACAGAATCTTTGAATTAAAGAGTATGTCAGACAACATGCAGAGGAGTGGCAGAGGAGGCAATGTTTTAGGAGTGAGCAGACGTGGCAGCAGAGGAAGGGGTCGAGGCAGCACTATTCGCAGCCAGAGGCCAGTGCTCCCGGTGTCATCCAGCGGTCGTGTCTCCACCGACAACCCTGCCGTCATCGATTGGTTGGCTCGGTCGTCTTCCTCTTCCCAGGTCACCTTTGACACCTACAGCCAACGGTCGGTGGGTACGTCAGACACACCGTTAGTTGGCATGGCCCGGGACCAAGCCCACTGAAATCACGTGTCCTCTACCTGCCCCTGTCCTTTGGTGTTCCCTCACCAAGCGAAGTATCGCATGCTGTGGGCTCAGCCCCACTGTACAGTGAGGAAGAGCTAACAGAGGGCGGTCAGGAACGGGGGGAGACATCCGCCTTTTCAGCAGCCAGGCAAAGAAGTACTGGCGAGGAGAGTGGCTCGGTAGCCGGTCTAGAGACAGGTCTGTCTCCTGACCCAGACGCAGCCGAGGGGGCTAGTAGTGAGGCGGAGACCCTACTTGATGATGAGGAGGTTGATCGCACTTGGCAGCCTCGTCGTCATCAGGCAATTTCTTCCGCATCATCAGGAGAAGAGGGTGGCAGCTTGGCAGCGAGCGAAACAGTCGGTGGGTTGCCCAGGAGGCAGCAGGGTCGCAGCAGTGTCAGTGGAGTCAAACGGCCACGGAGTAGAGCACCAGCTCCACTGCAGCCTACCACCACGGCCAGAAGCAGCAGTCAGCCAGTGAGGAGTATCGGGGGCAAAGTTTCCTACTCGGCGGTGTGGCAATTTTTCGTCAAGCCGCCCGAGGAAGTAAACGTAGCCGTATGTCGACTATGTGGCCAGAAAGTCAAGCGTGGCCAGGGGGCCCATGTTGGGACTACAGCGTTGCGGCAGCATATGCAGTGTCGCCATTTGGTGGCCTGGGAAAACCGTGATAAAGATACGGCGGTTTCTGCCCGCCCCAGCCCCCGCTCCATCACCCGCTCCGTTACTTGCTCCGTCACCCGACGTCAATCGCCCTCCATCAGCCAGTCAAGGCTCCAACACCTCTGCTGAGGGAAGTTGTCGCTCGTTGGCATCTTCCGCTCGTTCAGATGCTCCTTCTCCTGCTACTCCTCTTCACGGATTCCGTCAGCAGTCTTTCTTGGAATCCGTTTCCAAGAGACAACAGTTTGCGAGCACGCACCCGACGGTGCAAAAGCTGAACGTCCTCCTGTCCAAGTTGCTGGTGCTGCAGTCCCTTCCTTTCCAAGTGGTGGACTCAGCACCTTTCCAAGAAATGATTGCTTGTGCCACGCCGCGGTGGAGAGTGCCAAGCCGGCATTTCTTCGCCAAAAAGGCAGTGCCAGCCCTGCATTCACATGTAGAAGACATGGTGGGTCAGTCTTTGAGCATGTCGGTCTCTGCCAAAGTGCACGGCAGCGCCGACGTGTGGAGCTGTAACTACGGTCAGGGACAGTACATGTAATTTACGGCCCACTGGGTGAACGTGGTGCCGTCACAGCCGCACCAGCAACTTGGACAGGTCACGCCGCTTTTGCCTCCACGTTTGCACATTCTTGGTCCACAAAAGATGTCCGCCTCTACGACCTCTTCTTCCGCCGTGTCCTCAGCCGCCACCCCCGTGCCAAGTCCCATTACCCGACCGGCATATCACATGTGCAGGGCGCAACGGTGTCACGCTGTTCTGCACCTGGTATGCCTTGGCGAACGTAGTCACACAGGGGGGAGGAGGAACTTCTCAGTGTAATGAACAGAGAAATCGACAGATGGCTGTCTCCGCGCAAACTGAAAATCGGAACCATGTTGACCGACAACGGAAAGAACATGGTGTCTGCTCTGCGTCAAGGAAGGTTGTGCCATGCGCCATGCATGGCTCACGTGTTCAATCTGGTTGTCAAGCGGTTCCTAAAATCCACCATCCCACTGCAAGACATCCTTAAAATGTCACGTAAACTTTGCATGCATTTCAGCCATTCCTACACCGCAAAGCACATCCTCCTTGAGCTGCAGCGGCAGAACGGAATTCCACAGCATCGCCTGATCTGCGACGTTGCAACAAGGTGGAATTCAACCCTACACATGTTAGACCGCCTTTACGAACAGCGAAAGGCCATCACCGATTTCCTGATGTTACAAGCGGATAAAGGTACTCCCCTGTGTAACTTAGATGTCAGCCATTGGCAGCTCATGCGTGACACCTGCCGTTTGCTCAGGCCCTTTGAGGAGGCCACGCTATTCGTGAGTCGGCAGGACTATGGGATGAACGACGTCATTCCTCTGTTGCACGTCCTGGAACAAATGCTGTTAACAATGGCTGGTCAGGGTGCGGTAGACATGGCGCACAGATCTCAACGCCACATGACCCCTGTGGGGGCAGGACAGGAAGGAGAGGAGGAGGTAGAGGAGGACATTTGTGCTCAGGAATTATTGAGTGAAATGGGTGGTTTTTCCACTCAGCGGACAGGAGTGGAGGAGCAGGAGCATCTGGCAGAGGAGGAGGAGGAGGAGACAGAGGACCCAGACGCACCGTGGCAGTATGCTGTGGAGATGGAGGCAGGGAGTCCCTCGCATTCCTTGGCACAAATGGCCCATAGCATGCTCGCTTGCTTGCGTAGCGACAGCCGAATAATAACCATCAGACAGAGGGATGACTTTTGGCTGTCCACCTTGTTGGACCCTCGCTACCGTTCAAAAATGGTGGCCTTTTTCACACCTGCTGAGAGGGAGGCCAAAATAACGTACTATAAAAACCACCTAAGTAGTCAGTTGGTCTCTGCCTTTGTGCGCCAACGTCCATCCTCAGACACTGTGGGCCCTGTGCGCTCGCGTTCCGCTGCCATGGCAGCAGGGGAGGGGTGGGGTGGTAGGAGCAGTGGCAGCTCCACCAGCAGCGGCTGCCTCAGTCTGCAGTCGATGATGAGTAGCTTTCTTCACCAGCGCAGTGAGGAAACTACTAACCAGCCCGCAGCAGCAGCAGCATCTGGTGGACCTGGAGCAGGAGCTCAAACAACAGGCTTGGGCCTACTTGGACAGCACCCTGCCAACCGAGGTAGACAATCCCCTTGACTACTGGGCAATGAAACTTGACCTTTGGCCCCAACTAGCTGAATTTGCCCTTGAAAGGCTGTCATGCCCGGCCAGTAGCGTGGCATCGGAGCGCGTGTGTTTAGTGCGGCAGGAGGTATTGTAACTCCGCGGAGGACACGACTGTCCACCCAAAGTGTGGAGAGACTCACGTTTGTGAAAATGAATCAGGCGTGGATTAGTCTGGATTTCAAACCACCAGTTCCTGACACAACTGACTAAATCCGCCATGAATCATGCCCCAAACATGTGCCACTTTCAGGTCTCCTCACCCTGCTGGTGTGTTGAATTTTTTGACATAGGGTGCTGGCAGATTACGGGCCTCCCATAGCTGCTGCCAGGCCCCTAATCTGCCATGGGCCCCTATATACCGCCTCCTCATGCTGCTGCCAGGTCCAGAGTCTCTCATGGGTCCCTGTACGGCCTCCCATTGCTGCTGTCTCCATCGCCACACTCTGCCATGTGCCACTTTCAGGTCTCCTCACACACTGCTGTTGTGTTCAATTTTTTGACATAGGGTGCTGGCAGATTACGGGCCTCCCATAGCTGCTGCCAGGCCCCTAATCTGCCATGGGCCCCTATATACCGCCTCCTCATGCTGCTGCCAAGTCCAGAGTCTCTCATGGGTCCCTGTACGGCCTCCCATTGCTGCTGTCTCCATCGCCACACTCTGCCATGTGCCACTTTCAGGTCTCCTCACACACTGCTGGTGTGTTGAATTTTTTGACATAGGTTGCTGGCAGATTACTGGCCTCCCATAGCTGCTGCCAGGCCCCTAATCTGCCATGGGCCCCTATATACCGCCTCCTCATGCTGCTGCCAGGTCCAGAGTCTCTCATGGGTCCCTGTAAGGCCTCCCATTGCTGCTGTCTCCATCGCCACACTCTGCCATGTGCCACTTTCAGGTCTCCTCACACTGCTGGTGTGTTGAATTTTTTGACATAGGGTGCTGGCAGATTACGGGCCCCATAGCTTCTGCCAGGCCCCTAATCTGCCATGGGCCCCTATATACTGCCTCCTCATGCTGCTGCCAAGTCCAGAGTCTGTCATGGGTCCCTGTACGGCCTCCCATTGCTGCTGTCTCCATCGCCACACTCTGCCATGTGCCACTTTCAGGTCTCCTCACACTGCTGGTGTGTTGAATTTTTTGACATAGGGTGCTGGCAGATTACGGGCCTCCCATAGCTGCTGCCAGTCCCCTAATCTGCCATGGGCCCCTATATACCGCCTCCTCATGCTGCTGCCAAGTCCAGAGTCTGTCATGGGTCCCTGTACGGCCTCCCATTGCTGCTGTCTCCATCGCCACACTCTGCCATGTGCCACTTTTAGGTCTCCTCACACACTGCTGGTGTGTTGAATTTTTTGACATAGGGTGCTGGCAGATTACGGGCCTCCCATAGCTGCTGCCAGGCCCCTAATCTCTGCCATGGGCCCCTACACCGCCTCCTCATGCTGCTGCCAGGTCCACAGTCTCTCATGCCATGTGCCACTTTCAGGTCTCCTCACACACTGCTGGTGTGTTGAATTTTTTGACATAGGGTGCTGGCAGATTACGGGCCTCCCATAGCTTCTGCCAGGCCCGTAATCTGCCATGGGCCCCCGTACCGACTCCTCATGCTGTGACGTTGCAACAAGGTGGAATTCAACCCTACATATGTTAGACCGCCTTTACGAACAGCAAAAGGCCATCACAGATTTCCTGATGTTAAAAGCGGATAAAGGTACTCCCTGTGTAACTTAGATGTCAGCCATTGGCAGCTCATGCGTGACACCTGCGCTTGCTCAGGCCCTTTGAGGAGGCCACGCTATTCGTGAGTCGGCAGGACTATGGGATGAACGACGTCATTCCTCTGTTGCACGTCCTGGAACAAATGCTGTTAATAATGGCTGGTCAGGGTGCGGTAGACGTGGCGCACAGATCTCAACGCCACATGACCCCTGTGGGGGCAGGACAGGAAGAAGAGGAGGAGGTAAAGGAGGACATTGGTGCTCAGGAATTATTGAGTGAAATGGGTGGTTTTTCCACTCAGCGGACAGGAGTGGAGGAGCAGGAGCATCTGGTAGAGGAGGAGGAAGAGGAGACAGAGGACCCAGACGCACCGTGGCAGTATGCTGTGGAGATGGAGGCAGGGAGTCCCTCGCATTCCTTGGCACAAATGGCCCATAGCATGCTCGCTTGCTTGCGTAGCGACAGCCGAATAATAACCATCAGACAGAGGGATGACTTTTGGCTGTCCACCTTGTTGGACCCTCGCTACGGTTCCAAAATGGTGGCCTTTTTCACACCTGCTGAGAGGGGGAGGCCAAAATAACGTACTATAAAAACCACCTATGTAGTCAGCTGGTCTCTGCCTGTCTGCGCCAACGTCCATCCTCAGACACTGTGGGCCCTGTGCACTCGCGTTACGCTGCCATGGCAGCAGGGGAGGGGTGGGGTGGTAGGAGCAGTGGCAGCTCCACCAGCAGCAGCTGCCTCAGTCTGCAGTCGATGATGAGTAGCTTTCTTCACCAGCGCAGTGAGGGAAACTAATAACCAGCCGCAGCAGCAGCAGCAGCATCAGGTGGACCTGGACCAGGACCTCAAACAACAGGCTTAGGCCTACTTGGACAGCACCCTGCCAACCGAGGTAGACAATCCCCTTGACTACTGGGCAACGAAACTTGACCTTTGTCCCCAACTAGCTGAATTTGCCCTTGAAAGGCTGTCATGCCCGGCCAGTAGCGTGGCATCGGAGCGCGTGTTTAGTGCGGCAGGAGGTATTGCAACTCCGCGGAGGACACGACTGTCCACCCAAAGTGTGGAGAGACTCACGTTTGTGAAAATGAATCAGGCGTGGATTAGTCTGGATTTCAAACCACCAGTTCCTGACACAACTGACTAAATCCGCCATGAATCATGCCCCAAACATGTGCCACTTTCAGGTCTCCTCACACTGCTGGTGTGTTCCATTTTTTGTCATAGGGTGCTGGCAGATTACGGGCCTCCCATAGCTGCTGCCAGGCCCCTAATCTGCCATGGGCCCCTATACCGCCTCCTCATGCTGCTGCCAAGTCCAGAGTCTCTCATGGGTCCCTGTACGGCCTCCCATTGCTGCTGTCTCCATCGCCACACTCTGCCATGTGCCACTTTCAGGTCTCCTCACACTGCTGGTGTGTTGAAATTTTTTGACATAGGGTGCTGGCAGATTACGGGCCTCCCATAGCTGCTGCCAGGCCCCTAATCTGCCATGGGCCCCTATACCGCCTCCTCATGCTGCTGCTGCCAAGTCCAGAGTCTGTCATGGGTCCCTGTACGGCCTCCCATTGCTGCTGTCTCCATCGCCACACTCTGCCATGTGCCACTTTTAGGTCTCCTCACACACTGCTGGTGTGTTGAATTTTTTGACATAGGGTGCTGGCAGATTACAGGCCTCCCATAGCTGCTGCCAGGCCTTTAATCTGCCATGCTCTATACCCCCTATATACCGCCTCCTCATGCTGCTGCCAGGTCCAGAGTCTGTCATGGGTCCCTGTACGGCCTCCCATTGCTGCTGTCTCCATCGCCACACTCTGCCATGTGCCACTTTCAGGTCTCCTCACACACTGCTGGTGTGTTGAATTTTTTGACATAGGGTGCTGGCAGATTACGGGCCTCCCATAGCTGCTGCCAGGCCCCTAATCTGCCATGGGCCCCTATATACCGCCTCCTCATGCTGCTGCCAGGTCCAGAGTCTGTCATGGGTCCCTGTACGGCCTCCCATTGCTGCTGTCTCCATCGCTGCTGCTGGTGTGTTGAATTTTTTGACATAGGGTGCTGGCAGATTACGGGCCTCCCAATGCCAGGCCCCTAATCTGCCATGGGCCCCTATATACCGCCTCCTCATGCTGCTGCCAGGTCCATAGTCTGTCATGGGTCCCTGTACGGCCTCCCATTGCTGCTGTCTCCATCGCCACACTCTGCCATGTGCCACTTTCAGGTCTCCTCACACACTGCTGGTGTGTTGAATTTTTTGACATAGGGTGCTGGCAGATTACGGGCCTCCCATAGCTGCTGCCAGGCCCCTAATCTGCCATGGGCCCCTATATACCGCCTCCTCATGCTGCTGCCAGGTCCAGAGTCTCTCATGGGTCCCTGTACGGCCTCCCATTGCTGCTGTCTCCATTGCCACACTCTGCCATGTGCCACTTTCAGGTCTCCTCACACACTGCTGGTGTGTTGAATTTTTTGTCATAGGGTGCTGGCAGATTACGGGCCTCCTATAGCTGCTGCCAGGCCCCTAATCTGCCATGGGCCCCTATACCGCCTCCTCATGCTGCTGCCAGGTCCAGAGTCTCTCATGGGTCCCTGTACGGCCTCCCATTGCTGCTGTCTCCATCGCCACACTCTGCCATGTGCCACTTTCAGGTCTCCTCACACACTGCTGGTGTGTTCCATTTTTTGTCATAGGGTGCTGGCAGATTACGGGCCTCCCATTGCTGCTGCCAGGCCTGTAATCTGCCATGGGCCCCCGTACCACCTGGTCACGCTGCTGCTGGGTCCACAGTGTGACATGGGTCCCTGTACCGCCTCCCATTGCTCCCACTCTGCCATGTGCCACTTTCAGGTCTCCTCACACTCCTGCTGGTTTCCATTTTGTCATAGGTTGCTGGCAGATTACAGGCCTCCCATAGGTGCTGCCAGGCCCCAAATCTGCCATGGGCCCCCGTACCACCTCGTCACGCTGCTGCTGGGTCCACAGTGTGACATGGGTCCCTGTACCGCCTCCCATTGCTCCCACTCTGCCATGTGCCACTTTCAGGTCTCCTCACACTCCTGCTGGTTTCCATTTTGTCATAGGTTGCTGGCAGATTACAGGCCTCCCATAGGTGCTGCCAGGCCCCAAATCTGCCATGGGCCCCCGTACCACCTCGTCACGCTGCTGCTGGGTCCACAGTGTGACATGGGTCCCTGTACCGCCTCCCATTGCCACACTCTGCCATGTGCCACTTTGAGGTCTCCTCACACTCCTGCTGGTTTCCATTTTGTCATAGGTTGCTGTATGGCCTCACATTGCTGCTGCCTCCACCGCCACACTGTGGCTCCAAACACTGGTTTTGGCCCCGTGACTGGCCAAATGAGTGAAGTGTGCGGTGATTCTAAGATCGACGGCACTCATCTGCATGTCATACTGACTGACAGTATTATAAAGGTACAGTGTTCTGCACTAATATTAAGTCTCTCTGAAGCCTAGAAACACCCTTTTTTAAGTTAAATTCACAGCGAATATATTCGACTCGAATCGAATATTGTCCACGAATTCGCCGAATCAGTCGAATCGAATTTTTGAATACTTCGCTCATCTCTAGTCATCATCCTTTGGTGCCATTTCCTGTTCCTATCTCCTTTACGGTACCCGCTGCTGCAGATAAACAACGATCATTCAATTCCGTCTGGGCAGAGGTTTCTAAGAATTTACATCTGGCAGCTTCCAAGTACAAAACAGCTGCAAATCGCCATCGCCGCGTGAGTCCCAAATTCCTACCTGGTGACAAGGCTTGGCTCTCTACAAAGAATATCCATTTACGAGTACCCTTTATGAAATTTGCTCCTCGTTTTATTGGTCCATTTACCATCCTCCGCCAGGTCAATCCTGTTGCTTTCAAGCTTCGTCTCCCTTCACATCTTAGAATCCCTAATGTTTTCCATGTTTCTCTTTTGAGACCATATATTATCAACAGGTTTTCCCGTCCTCATCGTCATCCTTCCCCAATAGTGAGTACTTCGGATCAGTATGAAGTCAAGAAAATCTTGGATTCTAAGTTCATCAGAGGGAAGCTTTTGTATCTTATTGACTGGAAGGGATATGGTCCTGAGGAGAGGTGTTAGATTCCTTCTGCTGATGTTTCTGCACCCCGTCTGGTGGAATTTTTTCATCGGACGTTTCCCCTTAAGCTTGGCCCTAAAAAAAGGGGGGAGGCCTCGTAAGAGGGGGGGTACTGTCACAAGTTAGCCTGCAGCCTCCTGTTGCTTTGTCTTACCTCCTTGCTGTTTGTGTTTCCTTCACATGTGTGTCTCTCTCTGCTCACCTATGGGGGTCGTCTGCTATTCCCTGGGTTTTATGTTCTTCTCTTTCATCACTTCCTGGCCCGCCTCCTTGTCTGCCTGTCTAGTTAAGACATGCTCAGTCTGTCCCACATTGCCTGAGCAACGTTTGTTGTCTGTGCTCCCCAGTGTTCTTCCAAGTATCCGGTCTAGTGTTTCTGTGTACCGATCCCGGCTTTGTCCCTGACTTCTCTCCTACATCGTCCACCTGTGTACCGACCCTGGCTTCGTTCCTGACCTTGCTTGTGTTCTGCCTGTCCCGACTTCAGCTTGTCTTCTGGATCTCCTAGTCTATTCCAACTGTACCCTGCTCCCGCTAGCGGTCTCTTCTACCACAGCTGGGTGTACCTGGGGGCCGCGACCTGGTTCCAGCCTGCTCCAAGTCCATCCCCACCATCAAGGGCTCTGGTGAACAATCAGGCTGGGGCTTAGGCTCCGCGCCTGTCAGGGCAGGAGCGATGGAATGGGCAGGCAGGCCTATGGTAAGGTCACGCAGCGACTGACGATAGCCACTACCCACAGACCAGAATCCCTCAGGGCACGGAGTCTAAGCCCCAGCCTGCCCTTCACCAGGGCCCCTGATGGTGGGGATGGACTTGACGCAGCCTGAGACCAGGTCGCGGCCCCCGAGTAACCCCAGCTGCGGTAACAACTGCCGCCAATGGCATACAGCTGGTGGTAGCTAGATGGGAAAACGTGTAGCGTGGTCAGACAGACCGGGTCTATAACAACGGAGCAGACAGTACAAGACAAGGCAAAGAATACTCAGGTCATGGGCCGGGTTCAGCAACGGGAGGTCAGGTAAAGGGTTTAAGTAGAGAATAGTCTTGTCCAAGCCGAGTCGGTTACCAGGAGAGCAATGAGAACAGAACAAGAGCTTGCTGCAAGGGAACATACAGGACACGAATGCAAAGAGCAAGTGCAGACAACAGGCTTAAATGTGATCAACCACACCCCTCTGGGGGATGGACCGCAGAGGCCTGAAAGCATAAAAGGCTCCCACCATGCTTTGCAGAAACCTAAGATGGATGCCAGCACATGGAGCAGCATAACCTCTGGGGAAAGGTAGGACCTTGACAGTGTCCTGAGGGAACCCCAAGCTGTGGATTAAGAGCTCACTACCACAGGTGCTGACAGGAACTCTGTACCATCTAGAGCAGCAATGGGCAAACTACGGCCCGGCGGACCTTTTAATCTGGCCTGCGGAGCGTAATACTGTCAGGATGGCTGTCAGGATGTGTGTAGGCGGGGCAGCGTGACGAACGTGAGGGGAGCTAGGCTCCTCTAACAGTCCGCCCTGAAGACCGGTGTAGCATGAAAATCTGTCTCCTATGAGGATCTGTCCCCCTCGACGTATCTGCGCATGTGCCGGAGATCGCCGATCGGCTGCTAATGCCTGAAACTGGCACATGCGTAGATACGTCGAGGGGGACAGATCCTCATAGGAGACAGATTTTCATGCTACACCGGAACGGCGCGGGAACACGGCGAGAGGAACGCGCGGAGCAAAGGTAAGTGAATTGACACAGGGGGGACTTGGGGACTTAATATGGGGGATGAATTAATATGGGGAATTAATTACTATAGGGGGGATGAATTACTATAGGGGGGATGAATTACTATGGGGGATGAATTGCTATGGGGGATGAAATACTATGGGGGATGAATTACTATATGGGGGATGAATTACTATGAGGGATGAATTACTATATGGGGGATGAATTACACTATGGGGGATGAATTACTATAGGGGGGATGAATTACTATAGGGGGGATGAATTACTATGGGGGATGAATTACTATGGGGGATGAATTACTATATGGGGGATGAATTACTATATGGGGGATGAATTACTATGGGGCATGAATTACTATGGGGGATGAATTACTATGGGGGATGAATTACTATATGGGGGATGAATTACTATGGGGGATGAATTACTATATGGGGGATGAATTACTATATGGGGGATTAATTACTATGCTTACTATGGGGGAATATTACTATACTTACTATGGATGACACATACACATCATTCATCTACTCTTGGTCCGGCCCCCGGGTCCAATATATGAACCCATTGCGGCCCTCAAGTCAAAAAGTTTGCCCACCCCTGATCAGGAGTATAGTTTAAAATAGTTTTCTTGTGTAGAGAGACATATGGACCCTTTGTGTATATGTTCGGAAATGTGATCCCAGTCTTCTGGCGATAGTTGGAGTTGCAAGTCAGAGTACCAGGCCTTGCAAGCTTTCCTGGAAGGCATGTCAATGGTGTCTTTGAGGCATGTGTAGAGCTTAGATATAACATGTCTCTGGGGAGAGTCAGTTGAGCAAAATTTTTCAAATGGGGTGAGTGGCCTAGTATAATTTTTAAAATGTGAGGAGCTATGTATAAAGTGGTGAAGCTGTCTGTACATCCACGGCATCAAGGTTAAAGATGGCCATTTGATTAGAAGGAGGTCTCTGGGTAAGAGCGACTCATCTTTGAAAAGTTGATGCAACTTCAATTTATCTGTGGGGTTAGATCCGGTGAGAAAGACACGAGACATACCAGAGGGAAAGTGTGGGTTCATTTTGATAGGTGTGAGTGGGCCAGGGCTAGAAGAGAAACCTGTTTTCTGACTTAACTGATGATGACACGATAGAGTGGGGCCTATAAGAAGGTGTTCCCTGAACTCAGACGGAATGTGGGAGTTTTTCAGCCAAGGGAAAGTGGCGAGTGGGATCCCCGAAAATGCAGCTTCTAAGGTAACCCAAGCCTTACGGTTGCGGTTTGTAGACCAATCTACTATTCTTGCCATGTGACAGGCTCTATAGTAGCGGGTGATATCAGGCAGTCCAATACCTCCGCTTGTCTTAGGCATGGTAAGTTGTTCAAAACCGATTCTGGGGTGTTTGTTACTCCATAGAAACGAGGTACATAATGTTTTATATGACTTAAAGAAGGAATTAGGCAGTTTGATTGGAATCGTTTGCATCAAGTATTGTAGTCTAGGAAGCACGTTCATCTTGCTTCCTAGACTACTATAGGAAGACTAAGAGAAAAATGGTTTGTCCCATGTCTGCAGATCTTTGGTGATACTACGTAGGATGGGTAAAATGTTCTTGGCATAGAGTTCTAAAAGGTGAGTTGGTAATTGAATTCCTAAGTAGGTGATGGCCTCGGGCTGCCATGTGAATGGGAAATTTGTTTTCGCCTGTCTGACCGTATCTTGGATTAGGGAGACATTGAGGGCTTGGGATTTATTGAAGTTAATTTTAAAATTGGCCAAGTACTGAAATAATTGGAAATCGAGGTGTGTCCAAGATGGCGCCGGGAGCTGACGCTTCTGCCTGAGCTCTGGTGCCCTACATTTCCATCCGCTGCCATCCCGGCGATTGCAGTCACCCACTGCAGATCTGATGATCTCCGGACCCCGCCTGACACTTGAAGAGGGGTGCTGGGCGATTTTGCCCCCCCCTCCGACCATCCGGGGCGCCGGACGGCCTGCGGCCTACCACGGCGCGTAAAGCCGCGGTCTTTCCTGATTACACGTCTGGGACGGACCGCCGCTGCCACTCTGCCCTACGGACCCCATAAATAGGTCAGATACTGGGACAGCTCGAGTGGGTCCCCCTGGCTCTTCTGTCGGTCCTGAGGATCACACCAAGCCCCTATAACTTTCCAGCAAGGCCCAGAGACCTATCATAGTGGGGAAGTGGCACTGGATAGGGGGAGAAGCTCCATCTTTCAGCCCCCTTCCCAAAAGGGTGAATTAGGGGAACCTGAGGCACCTCTTAGCTAGCCTTCACAATGACTGTACACCTGGGCTCGTTATCATAGCCACCCACATTTCACTGGCTGTTGAAATATTGGGGCCCACGCCTACTTCAACTGAGATTACACCATTTACTGACATATTATAATAATGGATCTTATGTGAATGCATCCCCGTCGGGGGACATGCACACGCGCCAGGGGAAGATGACTAAGTGATCTCCCTGTGCCGTGCCACCGGAATATTTATCTCGGCAATTGGGCTTCTACACCCTAGCGTAT